GCCTTCAAACAGAATACGCATTGCAAGGCATTCACCTTCTAGCCTTCCAACTATTAGCAAGTCCTTTTGTGTTTATGTGTGTGTGGGGGGGGGGGTTAGAAAAGAGGACACGGATAGAGTAGTAGAAGTAACACGGGGAGCTTATGAAGGGCAGGGTGGTTGTCGTCACATGGTCGTTGTCGTCACATGGTCGTTGTCGTCACATGGTCGTTGTCGTCACATGGTCGTTGTCGTCACATGGTCGTTGTCGTCACATGGTCGTGATGGGATACAGCCAAGACAGTAAGTGTGTGTAGGATACAGCTGGTCCCCGGTAGTCACAGAGGGGAGTCTTTGCTTCAGTTGTAGCCCGGGGATCTACTACAGAGGGTTTTTTTTATGTTTTCCTTTTTTTAATTCTGATCCATTGACGTCAATAATGTGGGCAGCCATTTGTCGCTATAATACTTATAGTTATAGTGCCTCTCCCATCTCGACCGTCTACCTTTTGACCTTATGCCATTTCTAGTTCATAAAGGCTGGGGGGGGGGGGAGGAGAAAAATCCAAGATGAAGATCTTTTTATATGCCTGAAAATTAATTGTGTCACAAATGTTGCTGTAGGCTGTGTGTTTGTACGTGTGTTTTCTACTTTTCTTTGAAAAGATTGTTTCCCTTGTCTGGGCGTGTTTGCGGTCTATTCCATGTGGTTAGGGGTTTTTGAGGGTTCTTTTTCGCGGAATTTGGAAAAGGACGGAAAAGATATCTTGAGCTATTCAAAATTATTACAGCCGCCAGCCGCCATATTGCATGCTCGGTGTGTTCACTTGCAAATCTGTTTTGGGGTTGTTTGGACGACGCTCGAATAGCGTGGCCACTCGTCAATTTGACGCCTTATGAAATGTAACACGGATACATTTTTGTCGTGAATCAGTTCAGTCTAGATTACCTGGACCGCCCTTTCCTGAACCTTCTTTGCTTTTCTATTGAGCCAAGAGCTAAAATAATATAAATGTACTTTGTCTCTCCCATCTCCAACCTTATAAATCGTAGTTGTTAAAGGGAACCAAGCTCGTTATCGTGAGATTGTGGGGGGGGTTTGGGGTTCGAGCCTCAGCTCAGTCCGACACTGTGACTGTGTCCTTTGGACAGACACTTTACACGAATGTTCCCATCTGGCTCGGTCATGTCGGTGATGGACGTTAAATTCGGAGGTCCCGCCTCCTGTATACCCTTACATGTAGTGTGGCAAGGGGCTTAAACCCGTACCCTTTCGCACGTTTTTTTTCTTTAAAAAACAATAGCCGCTGCTGTGGAGTGCTCGGAACCGAACAGACACTAGGGCCTATAAAGAACGGCCCCTTCTGTACTTACCCCCTGTCCCACGCGCGTCCTTTTCGATAGAGCTGGGCAATGAGTCGCTTTAGCAAAATCCGGATAATATGTCAGTACACCTGTTTGGCAAATACTAGATAGAACCGCTTCTGCAAATGAGTTAGAACCACTTTAACAAACGAGTTAGCGTTAGCATCACTTCAACAAATGAGTACGCCCGCTTCGGCAAGCTGGTCAGGAAAGTGAGTTAAGAGTCTGAATTTGGACAATGTTTCATCGCTAATTATCCGGTTATTCGGATAGATTATCCGGATTTTGCCCACCTCTACTTTTCGATGTGTCAGAGGCGCTTGCTCATCTTTATTGTTGTAGATCGTTGGAGGCTAAAGCGGCAGGACCGACTGTCTATATGTACAGTGTCCAGGTGGTTGCTCTTGTACGCATGGGCGCGCGCTGACAGAAATGCAAGCTGGCTCTTTGCATCTCACTGCTGTACGGATGGAAGGTTTCTAAGTCCCCGAAGATTCCCGAACAACC